GACACCAGGCACGTGCCTGTTTGGGTTAGGTGTTAGTAGGCGCGATGGAAAATATAGGACAGAATACGAGGAAAATTGACTACCGGCGTGCTGCCAGATTGTTAGCTTGTATGCTTACTAAGTGTGTTAGTATTAAAGATTTTAATTTGGGAAGGGTATCTACGTTAGAGATTAGTGTGTACAAATCATTATAATTTGCACATAACACTCTAAAAGGTTCATGCACTTCAAAGGAGGTTCTAAAGTGGCGCAACACTAATGGGATATAGGATCTAGTAGTTCTACATGGTACATGGAAATTAAGCTGACTCAACAAGTCAGCACTTTCCACATCACCATGTATAAGGTAAAAAATAAAGGTTATCCCTAGCATCGTTCTACGATTGGCTAAGGACGGCAAGTTTATTAATAGGAGTCTACTAGAGTAGGAAGGTAATCTTTGGTTTGCATCCCAATTTAAACCGCGTAGAGCGAGAAGTAAAAAGTTCTTTTGAACCGACTCAATGCGTTTACTATGGACGCCGTACTGAGGGCTCCAAACGCAGCATCCATATTCTAGGATAGCACGAACTAAGGAAGTATATAAGGATTTAGTAACATAGGGGTCATTGAATTCCTTCGACCACCGTTTAATAAATCCAAGCACACCCCTGGCTCTATTCACCATAGACGAAATACGATCAATAAAGTCAAGTTTTGGGTCCAAGCGGACGCCCAAATCGTCAACTGTATTAATTCTTTCCAAAGAGCAGCAGTTCAGCGTGTAAGTAGCAAGCTTAGGAGCGACACGACAGAATGTCATTAGCTTGCATTTCGAGCCATTTAAGTATAATAAGTTTACACGGCACCAAATTTGAAAATTATTAAGATCTGTTTGTAAATCCGACTGGCAGGCAACGTCATTGTATTGCACGCAAAGCTTGACGTCATCCGCGTACATAAGTACTATGGAGTTAGTCAAGACTTTGGGCAGGTCATTTATGAACAATGTAAACAATAAGGGTCCCAAATGGCTTCCTTGCGGGACACCAGATGTAACGCTTAGAACATTGGATAAATTATTCTTAAAGAGGACCTTCTGCGCCCTGCCATTCAAATAACTAGAGATCCAATTAAGAAGATCACTTGGAAAACCCATTGAATCGAGTTTTCTAACGAGGAGAGAATGGTTAACAGAGTCAAATGCTTTACTGAAATCAGTATAGATTACATCTGTCTGACAATTATTATGGAAGCCCTTTATAATATAGGAAGAGAGCTCCAAAAGATTTGTTGTTGTTGATCTTCGCTTAATAAAACCATGTTGACATGGAGAAATAACCGATCTACAAAGGTGCTGTAAGTGAGGGGTGATAATGTTTTCATATAATTTAGGGATGGCCGACAACTTAGAGATTCCTCTATAATTGCTGGCATCCAATTTGCTACCTTTTTTGTGGAGAGGAATAATAAACGATTCCTTCCAAGTAATGGGAAAGTGGGAGGTTTCCAAGGACAAGGTAAACAATTTCAGAAGGGGATAGCACAGGGCGTCGAACAATACCTGAGCGCACAGCCAGGAATTCCGTCGGGACCTGGCGAATAAACTGGCTTGACACGATGAAGATCTAAAAGGAGAGAGCTTTCGTTTAGGCTAGGACAGAAAATTAAGTTTGATTTGGGTATGTCGTAGGAATAGGTCTGGTGTAGATACGAAGAGCTTTTGTTGTTGTTTGAAAAAACTGCGAAAATAGATCGGCTATTGCCTGATCATTATTTGCATTAGTATTTTCAAATGAAAGCAAGGAAGGATTTGTTTTAGGCTTACGTTTAGTGTTAACGAAATTATAAAACTGTTTTGGGGCCTGTGAGAACTGGGCCCTACAACGAGTTAAATAGTTTTTATAACACTGCGCGTTCAGCAGCATTGAGCATTCAGCAGATTGAGAACCGGTGATTTTAAATTTAGCATACAGTCTAGATTTTTTATTTTTAAGTCGGCTCAACTCTTTAGTGAACCACGGCGGTTTATTCGAGCTTGGCGGATAATATAACGGAACACATTCAGTAGAAAATGAATTCATGGCACTGTAAAAAATATCCACGGCAACAGCCATGCCAGTGCACATGTATAGATCAGACCAATTGAACTCGTTTATAAAATTATTCAGCCGTTCAAAGTCCGTTTTGCGAAAACATAGGACTTTATTGGCTGGACGGTCAGAAATATTCTGTACGTCACACCCAATATCAAGAGTCACATCGAAAGTTGGATGATAAGGATCTTCGGCTTGCGTCAGAGGCGCCACCCTTGCTAAACTGACTCTCGCAGGATCAGAGACGAAGCAAAGATCGAGCAAGCGATGTAAGGAATGGTTGACTTAAGACAGCAAAACGTCGAACAGGCCAGCGATAAAGTCATATTGTGTAGGTGTATGGAGAATATTGGTGGAATTATTTGAGCACCAAATAGCACAAGGAATATTAAAATCTCCTAGAACTACCAACTGGTCTCTATCCAAAAGTCTACTGGAAACCATCTGAATAGCGGAAAGGTGATTCCAATAAATAGGAAGTTCCGACAGTGGAGGTATGTAGGAACAGGTAATAAAAATGGAGCTTCACACAGAGGAATTCAACATCGTTGCATTCCTCGAAGGTTAATAATTCGGACGTGAGTGAGGAGTCCACCGCTATGAGAACTCCACCCCCGCGTCTGATAGGGCGATCTAGCCGATATACCGTGAACACAGCTGGAAAAACTTCGGAGCTCAGAATCTCCGGCTTTAACCAGGAATGTAAAACTGCAAATATAATATGTATAGGTGAATGAAATGAAGGCAGATATTACTTCATTGTTTTTGAACATAAATATATATAATTTATATTGTATGGATTCCTAGTCATTGAAGCTCTATATGCAAGGGTATATAAACTTGCCGAAGTTAGCTCCCTTTCTTGTTAGTCCTAGCATAAATGAAAGCTCTCTTCTTTTACGACGGTCTCCTGGCTGTGAGATCTGGTATTGTGCCGACGCCTTGTCGTTTAAGTTAAGAATTATTTATCTAATCTTCAAACGGTTTCTTCTGGCGTCCCACAAGGGAACCATTGGGCCCCTATTGTTCACATTATTTGTAAATGACCTGCCCAAAGGCTTTACTAGCTCCAGAGGGCTTATGTACACTGATGACGTCAAGCATTGCGTGCAATACAAGAACATCTTAGTCTAAATAATTTTAAAACATGGTGTCGCGTAAACTTATTAAACTTAAACGGCTATAAATGCAAGCATACAGCATTCTCTCGTGTCATTCTCAAGCTTGCGTCTTACATTTCAATTATTTCAGATGATGATTTGGGTGTCCGCGTAAATTCTTAACTTGCCTTAATCGTTCGATGAATAGATCCAGGGGTGGGCTAATTATTAAACGGTAGTCAAAGGAATTCAATGACCCCTATGTTACTAAATCCCTTTATATTTCTTTGGTACGTCCAATCGTAGAATATGTATGCTGCGTTTGAAGCCCTCAGTACGGCGTCCATAGTACACGCATCAAATCGGTTAAAGAAACTTTATTTTTCGCTATATGCGGCTTAATTTGGGATCTAAACCAAAGATTACCTTCCTATTCTAATATACTCCTCCTAATCAACTTACAATCCTTAGCCAACTGTAGAATTATGCTTGGCATAACCATTATTCATGGTAAATAAAATTTTATTTTAATGAAAATCGGTTGAAACCTATAGGGAGGACGTTCAGATCTGGTAAGTCCATACCGCATGGGAGGCGCCGCAGTAGGTCGACAGCAAACTTTTTGTAGGGATTCATTGGCCATTTTTGCCGATTAAACGAATTAAAAACGTTTTAGCTATTTTCATGTCCGGTCATTTAGCCTGCCATTGCTGGCTGTGGAGCTTCGCCGTGTCATCGGAGCCACCTCGCACTGCAAATAATTTTCTTGCCCCAGGTCATTGGAAGGCTCTTCTTTCCCTAAAATAAAAAGCTTCTATAGTGTAAGCCTTTCTGTCAACTTACTTGAATATTCGTTTGCTCATCGCAGTCTGTCCTCCGTGTTCTGTTAACTTTTATGGAGATGGGTAGGTTGCCAGACCGCCTGGATTTTTTTTGCTCCAAAATTAAAATTAAATGTAAATGTATCGTTCCGAGACGTCCGATATATATCGGTATTCCACTGTATGGACCTCGGGCATTGGTCCACTTACCGCCCTGGGAATCCTAAGGTAGCATTGCCCGACAGTACAGGTTGGATAAAATTAATTTATCGATCAGAGAATCTATTTTAATTCGAGCTCTGGCTTATAATCTTCTTCCAAATACAAAATAGCCCTAACACTTAAATTCACCTCAACTTTCCACACTCACTATCAACGAATATCATTCTTCAAACCATTATGAATGTTTAATGCACAAAGCGTTTTTTGTGCTGCATGAGATATCAGGTTGGGAGGTGCATAAACTATTTTCAATTTATTAAACAAAGGCCAAAAGACAACCGTTTCAAGCAATCTCAAATCAGCAACTGGCTTTTATTAACAGCAGCAGATCTAGAGAACCGAGATTTGGTAACTTCATGTTAATGAGCTTTTGTTTACATTGTATATTCAAAGAGAAACGGTTCGGGAGATGCGAATTTAAAGAGTTTGACCGAACAATGAACTTATTATATAAGTTACAACTTCGAACTTACAAATAATCTTTTTATGACCAAATTTTATTTAACAAATGCTTAAATATATTTAAAAAAATTGAAGTATCGCACTTGGTTGGTTTGATCGCCACCCTTGGATTTTGTTACTCAACTTTCCTATGTAAAGAAATTTAACATTACTTTGGATCGACCAGAAATGGATCTATTCCTAATAATCCAGCAGTTGTCAAGGATGTATTATTGAAAGTTTTATTCATTTACAATGAAATAATATTTTATTTTTGTTTTACTTTCTGCAGGAACAACTCTTTTTCATTGCCATAACAAAAAATTGCACGTGATTTGTTGGTGAAAAAAATGTTCTCAGACGATTTCTACCAGTTCGTTGAGCTATGTTTAACTAAGAGTCCGATATCTCGTTGGTCTGCATCAAAATTAGTAACACACTCCTTTTTGAAGCAATGCCGTAATACTAGTATTTCTGAAAATTTGAAAGACATCAGTTTTGATTTGGATACATCTAAAATTAAAGAAGGTAAGTATTAGTACTTGCTTTAACATAATTATTTTTATTTTCTTGTATTGTAAGCAAACGTATGCTTCAGCTGCTCTTTGCCAAGTCATTTATTTTTACACACTTAAACTTGTGTTGGGTTTATGCATGAACGAGACTGGAATAAATCAGAATAAGTGATTCACCGATTCCAACACATGACTACAAAAGTCTATAACCTGTAACCGTAAATACTGCATTCGGTAAGCAGCATTTTAAGAAAAAGATATGTATTAAAACATTTAAAAAAACATGTTTTCATGAATTTATGACAGTGTGTATACCTAGTCAACCTTACTATATTATTTTAAGTTAATATTGACGATTTAAGTTTTTTTTCGCTTTGTTATTAAACTAAAATATTAAAAGAAAAAACTACGACCATCACAATGCACTCGTTCAAAACTTTGTGTTTGAACAACCACACAACTAGTAGGTATTCAAAGGGCAGAATTATTCGCCAGCGACAATGGGTCAAAAACTGTGGCACTGTAAACAATGCTGCCAGCTCAGCTGTTGTAGTTCCACGTGAAACAATATCTGCCAGGTTGCTCGCAGATATTCTTGATCACAGTAGTGCTGAATCTGCTCCTTCGTTGGTCTGTTATGACGATGGGTCAAAAACTGTAAACAGTGCTGCCAGCTCAGCTGTAGAAGTTCCACGCGAAACAATATCTGTCAGGTTGCTCGCACCTGGCACAAATTTTCACTGGCCATCTGCCATCCATTCCTTATTTTCGGAGATTCGGTTTCCGACGAAAGCTAAGACTGTGACTGGAGCTGTTTAAGCCAGTGAAGTACAAAAGTATGCAGAGTAATTTCGGTCTGCTAATGGGGGCTTAAATTTTGAATACAAATAGCAATTTTTCTCCACAAAACTGTAGTTTCGGAAGAGATTTCGTCTTATCAGAAGCCACTCTCGACTTGGCAGTTTGCAGATGCACTGCGATATCTCCGACCGATAAACACAAAATCCATTAATTTGAAGTGATCAAATCTTGTGTTGGAGACAGTAGCGGGGAACGACAAAACTGTTTGACCATTTTTTTCAGGCCGTGGGTATGTTTTCTGGAAAGCTCTGGTTCCATGACAGGCCAGCGAACCAGAGTTCATGTAAAAGTATTTTTGCGGGTTGAATTCGATGAATAATGTATCCTTGAGCTGATTCCAGTTCACTCGCCACACGAGCTGAGCTCCTTCGATACGTGTTTTTATATGAATCCAGAGTGGTTGGAATGCCATTTAGTGAGTGGGAACTACCCTTAACGAAGAAATGTTGTGACTTGATCCTTGATAATGCGAAGCGTCGCTAAGTCGTCTGCACCTGTAAGTAGGTCAACATAAAACGACGTCTTTATGATGGCGCTGCCGATTGGAAAGTCGAGTCGATGAACGGCGATATGGTTTAGAATGCAGTTGCAGTGCTGTAGATCTCCATATTCAATTGATACGTGCATGTGTCTTCTGGAAATGCTCTCCAACGGATGTACTGGTATTTCCGATCAACAATGTCATGATTTACTTGCCTGTACATCTTGGTCACATCTGCAGTGATGATGTAACGATGAAGTCTAAATTTCATTTTAGGCTAACCCATAGAAAACCGTTAAGCGACGTTTGATTTGAAGTCCGACATGAGGCCAATACTACCCTGAACTTGGAAGACTCACTTCTGGGTTTGAGGACGCAATAATGAGGGATGTACTAGTGCGGGTCGTGCAATTTAGGATGAATAACTGAGGACATGTGACCCAATTTTTCATACTCCTCCATGAAGTCGCAGTATTGCTGACGAAGTGCTAGAGATTTCGATAGACGACGTTTCATGCTCAGGAACCGACGACGGGCCATATCAAACGAATTCCCCAAACGTCATGGGTCGTCATTGAATGGATGTTTGATGACTGTCGCGGCGAGTGGTCTATTCGTACTGTTCCAGCTTCTGCAGAAGTGACGAGTCGACCGCTTCCAGCTCCCACAGACGTTTAAGATTGACATCATTTGAACATGCGTTAAAAGCCAGGCAAGTGCAAGCTTCTATTGACCCGGTTTGTTGAGGTCCACCACCCAGCCAAATGGGTTTACTGCAGCAACGGGCCTCGACGGCAACATCCAAGATTAGATTTCTGGTGTATTACAGAGATTTGCCGAAAGTACGAAAGATGAATTGCCAGATATGAGAGATGCGGTTGTGCAATATTTAATATCTGTTTGCGAGTGGCCGATGCTTCAGATTTGCACTGCATGTATTTCCTTCAACTGACGAAACTGTTGTGCGAAATCCTTCGTAACGAAGTTCGGTTGCTGCTTCCAATGGTGGTGTGGTTAGAAACTGTTGATGCAAGCGAGACAAGTACAGTGCGACAGCGATTTTTCGAAGGGGAACTTGACTGTTGGTAACCATTACACAGGCAATTTAGACTGAGATGATGTAATTTAACGACTTAAAACCGCGCGATTGGACTGAGGTTCTTAAATTTGTCACAGCCAATCAATTTGTGCGAGGATGCCAGGCAGTATACATACGGTGCGTTAGTCAGCGAAAGCGACGAGTTGTGAGATCTTACTGGGGGACGAATCATTCTTGACTGCTCCCATCCATGGGGTTGCTCAGCAGAAAAATGAAACTGGCACTGGCGCTCAAGCAGCTACGTTAACAGGAGGATAGAGTGAGAAACCCTAAGGATTCGTTCCATTTCGTTTAGGTCTGCTGGGCGCACTTCTCCATGACAACCAAAATGATCATTGCCTCAGAAAATTTGTTGTCTTCCATCTTGACCGCCTTGCAAACTCTTTCCGATGCGATCGCAAGGGATACGACTTCCTTAGCCGTTGACAAAATCTGCGGAGGAGTGGCACGCCTGATATTGACAAAACATATAAGCGAAAAGGATATCATCACTTACGTAGTCAAATTCGTCAAACTGATCTACACTCACCATCCGGATAAGTTTAAAAATGTTGCCAGCTCGAACCCAGAGATGTGCCAGTTTGTGCAGACTCTTTAATATATGACGCCACTACCAACAACTTGTAGAATTTTCCTTTCGGATAGGCACACCAACCACACAATACGCTTTCCCGGCCCTTCGCCACGGGATGGATCGTAAAGGATTAATCTCGCCGAGCAGAAGTGTCTTTCAAATTAAGGGTTATGTTGTTTTCTATGAGGCCCATTAAATTGCGGAAATGTTTTTTTATTTAAATTAATACAAGAAATGTTGGAAGGGTTATGGTTCTGTCATGAAGAAAAAATAAATTATTTATAATGTTTTGAGTTTATTGGTTATTGGAGTTCAACTCGATGTAATAAAATTTCTTCTTCATTCGTTTTTTCCGATAAATAATGAAAGAGCCGAACAAATCTTTAAATATTTATTGCCGCAATATAAAATCGAAAACTCTCGGGCAGGTATTACATATGAATGACTTCAGGCCGCAAATTAGAATTTATTAAGGAGGCAGAATTGTATATCCAGCGAAGAAAGCGCTTTCTGGCGTAAATAAGGATAAGGAGGCTGTATGAAACGAAATAAGTTAACTGAATTAAGTTTTAAGAGCAGCAGCTAAGCATTTAAGTTGCAAGCTTGGGAACGACCCGAGAGAATGTCATAAGCTAATTTTAAAACCTTTTAAGGGGGTAGACCACCCTGAACCCATGAAAATTTGAGTGTTTTTCAACAATTCATTTTGACTAAGTTATTAGGAATACACCTTTTTATTTATTAGTACATCAAAGTACATATGTTAAACTAAAAAATACTTATTGCAAATGGGAGCACTTTGAAAATTTTTTTTTTTGCGAAATTTTTTTTTTTTTAATGTATAACTATAAAACAAAAAATCATATCGAAAAAAATCCTACGTCATGCCATAGAGGGCGTTATAGAAAAGCTGTGTAAAAAATTTGAAGAGAATCGGTTTAACGGTTTTTGAGAAATCATGAAATTTTGAGAAAAACGCAAAAGAAGATACAGAAAGTACTCTAAGGTATACCGGCAGCGCTCACTTCTAATGGCTGTAAAGTCCTCAAGTAATGAGATATTTTTAAGCCCGATGCCTTAAAATGACCGCAAGCGTACTTAAGTACTCTGGAGTTAGTCAAAACTTTAGGCAGATCGTTTTAAATAATGTAACCCAAATGGGTTCCTTGCGAGACGCGGGAAGTGACCCTGAGAACATTAGATAAAATATTCTTAAAGAAGACATTTGGCGTTCTGTCATTCGGATAACTTATGATTCAACTAATAAGATTAACTGAAATCCCATTAAATCGAGTTTCCTGAATATAAGGGAATGGTTAACAGAGTTAAAAAATTTACTAAAATCAGTATAGATAAGATCTATCTGAAAATTATTATGGAAACCTTTACAATAAAGGAAAAGAGATGCAAAAGCTTAGTTCTTGATGATCTTCGTTTTATATATCCGTGTTGATATAGAGAAATAACTGACCGACAGAGGTGCTGGAAATAAGGTGTATCTACGTTTTAGAGATTCTTCTATAATTATTGGCATCCGATTTGCTACTTTTTTTTTGAAAGGAATAACAAATTATTATTTTCAAATAAAAGGAAAAGTGAGATGTTTCTAAGCCTAAAGTAATCCAGTTTAGAAAGGGATAGCACAAGGTGTCAGCACAATACCTGAGCACACAGCCAGGAACTCCGTCGGGACCTGGCGAATAAACTGGCTTGACACGATGAAGATGTAAAAGAGGAGAGATTTCGTTTATGCAAGGACTGAAAATTAAGTTCGATTTGGGCATGCTGAAGAAATAAATCTTATTCGAATCCGAAGAGTTTGATTAAGTGGTTTGAAAAAACTGCGAAAATAGATCGGCTAGGAGGAAAGATTTGTTTTAGGCTTACGTTTAGTGTTAACAAAATTATAAAACTGTTTTGGGTCCTGTGAGCACTGGACCCTGAAACGAGTCAAATAGTTTTTAAAACACTGCGCGTTCAGCACGTAAAAGTTTGACCGAGCGGAAAGGGTAGTTTGAGAACATAAGCATAAGGCGAGTCAACTCTTTAGTAAACCACGGAAGTTCATTCGAGATTGGCGGATAGTGTAACGGCCGTGTGCCTTGTAAAAAACAACCATTGCAACAGCCACATGTATAAATCAGACCAATTAAATTCAGAAATAAATTTATTCAGCCGTTAGTTGCATTGTCGAGATTCTTGACTTGAGACTGCAAAACGTCAAACAAGCTAGCAATAAAACCATGTTCTGTAAAAGTTAGGAGGGTATTGGTGAAATTGTTTGAGGACCAAATAGCCCCATTAATATTAAGATCTCATAGGACTACCAAATGGTCCCTAATAGAAGTGGGGAACTATCGATAGTCTGCGCCATCGTGCTTAATAGTTTCTATAAAATATCGACTATCGACGATAGCAAGGAAAATCTATCGTCGATAGTTGTCGATAGTGCAGTAATCTTAAAAAAAGAATTTAATTAGTTTTTGTAATAGTCCATATTTATTTAAAGTTTACAAGTATGTCATTTGTTATCCAATCTTTATCTGAAAATAATAAATAATTATTATTCGGATAATATGATTTTGTAATTTTTATCTCGGATCTAATACCTGTGTTTATAATTAATGTATATGTAAGATGCAAAGAGTAAGTTACTTGTAGCGGAGAAGGTCACGGAGTCACTGTAAATAATAATACCTGTGAGTGCGTTACAAATCCTTTATCTTCTACAATACTGTAAGGCAGCACATCCTCCGCGATCATTTCGGTTAATGCCCGGTCAATATCATTTTTGCGCTTTGAATTTGAATCATATAATATGGTTCTCTTAAAATTAGAAGCCACGGAGTGCATACTCGACCTAGAGCTGCTACTTGTGGATGGAATATGGTCCTTCTCAGCATCTGTCTCACGGGTACTATTGCCCGTTGCTTGAGTATCCATTGTCGGGTGAAATCTTTTCGGATAATCTCGTAAGTTTGATGTATTCCCGCTAGTCTTATACTCTTTTCCACACGAAAGACATTTTGCAAATTTCTTATCTTCAGAGCTTTTAAAATATTTCCATACGCGTGAAATTTTTGAATTTCTTTTGCGTTCTGGTTTCTCTCTCTTTGTCCTTAATGGAAGTACTGCGCGTTGATGATGTTCGGCGTTTTATTATTTTTATTTAGATACACGAACATTGATTTGAACAAGAACCATTGATCAACTGACCAATCCATCGATAGCGTCGATATTGCCATCGATAGTTCTCCACCTCTAGTCCCTATCCGAAAGTTTATTGGAAACCATCTGAATAGCGGAAAAGTGGTTCTAATAAATAGGCAGTTTCGATAATTGAGAAATGTAGGAACAAGTAATGAAAATGGAGCTACCATAGACAAATACTAATAATACTGATATTAATCCCTGCAGTACCTGTCATCAGTAATTCATCAACGTTTCATCAACAGTCAAGGGTGTGCTGCTGATTTTTTATCGATGACAGGCCATACAAACTGTTGATTTATTTAATATGGGCATGTCCTAGGCTGTCATCAACAAAAATTCATCAAAGATAAATCGATGATTCATCAACAATTCATCAACAAGTTCAGCAACAATTCATCATCAATTCATCGATGATTCATCAACAATTCATCGATATTTCATTAACAAATTTCTCAACGGCCGGGCCATGGTACTGCCGACGTCTGCCGTCTAGACTGCCGCCGTAACTGTATCGTGGGCAGAGCGTCGTAGTAGAAGTCGAAGTCGGCAGAGGGTCGACTCGGTAAAAGTCGCAGTCGGCAGAGAGTCGCCTCGGTACAAGTCGCAGTCGGCGCGTTGATGACAGTGGCCTATTGATGACACGCGGTACTGCAGGGATACTACGCAAGCTTTTTGATTCGGCGGCACATTCGGGCACCGAAGCGCTAAGTTCGATCTAAGCACTCTTTGAGTTAGCGCTAAGAGACAAACAAAAAAAAATTTGAACGTTTTCCATATTATTCATTTAAATTATTGATTCAGTAAATTAGGTTATGAATCGCCGATTTATCGGTTTATTTAAATTTTATTATGTTTTTAAGAAATATGGTATCGCTGGTGAATTTGTTGAGAATGACATAAAACATATTCTTTTTTTTATTTGATAATTATATTATTCTAATATATTTATTCATTTCAGATAAATCAGTTCTCAAGATTGGTGTAACAACGAAGAGAAACTGTGATGATATTATATGGAGCTTTTAATATGGTGAAATAAGTGTTACTCAATCAATCACTACATAGCCTCTACCAAACCCTGAAGACTAAACATAGGGTCGACAAGGGTTTTCAGCACTTTAAACGAATGCAGTTCTGAATTGGGAGTTTGCCTTTAATTACCATTAGCTTCAATAAAAAATAATATTTATTTCTATAAATCTGTTTTAATTCAATATGAAGTATAGAAAACTTTAATGTAAGATATTTTTGATATGCCTATGCCTGTATTTATTGAATATCAAGCAGCAATAAAGCTTTTAATAAATGTGGCCTGGACTTAAATCAAGCTTCAATATTTGCTAGAAGCGTAAAATGTTCTGCGTAAGTGTACTCTCAAATATAAACAGTTTTCCGATTGCCTGAATGGACTTGTCGTGGACACCCTCTTATGGAATGGAATGTGCGATCTGATTTAGCAGCCGAAAAAGCTTGTCAATTATATGGAGGGATCACAAGATGCTTTTACCCTATAACATCTTTCTTTTAATTGTATGTAATTTCCCATTTTTTTAGCTGCCTCTTTTTGCTTTGCATTTTCTTCCAAATCTTGCTGTCCGTTATTCCACGTTGTTTTCGTGGACGCGATTACATGCTAAACCTTAATAAGCTTACTTACTTCCACGCTTTCGGGATATAGTGTTTTTTTCTTTTTCCATTCCTTCCCACATAATGCAGAAGGTAATATTAATAAAATTAATATTGTTTTTGAATCTAAAACCCTTTGTTTGTAGGGGGCGATCCTGCCGCTTAAGATCCTGGAAAATGCAGCCCAGTGAAAATTCCCACGTCGCAATTGAAGTCGAAAAGTAAAGGCGGGGGCGTCGTGGGCAATTCAACTGGTCAGCTTTATTTCGCTGCATACATAAGACTCATTAGCTCAAACGTAAGGGCTGAGCTCCCGACCGATAAGCTAAGCTTAACAGTGCGAGAGCGGGCCCGAGAAGTGGAGCGCGAACTAGCCGTCCCTCAGCTCGCCTAGCAGCGAGTGAAGCTCGGGAACTCGGGAGCGGGCGTTCGCGAACATCGAAGAGTGGGCGCGGGAGCGCTTAGACTAGCCCGATGAGCCGTGCGCGAAGAGCCGACTTGCGGGAGTGCAAGAGCGGCCAAGCTTTGGAAACTCGGTGGACAGAGGCGGCGCCGCGAAGGGCTTCCTGACGCGGTAAGGCATGAAGCCGTCATACTTTTGTATGAAAAATATATCCCAAAAAAAACCCGGACTTGAAAAGTTGAGTTTGATCGACAACAACTCCGAACTCAACATTACTTTTTATTTATTCGAATCTTCCAGCGCTATTGCCATGATAAGTAATGTGCCAAATGTGCACTCTACCCTGCACTACCGCATGTGATCAATAGGCCACTGTAATCAACTGTCATCAACGCGCCGACGGCGACTTTTACTTCGACGCTCTGCTCACGATACAGTTACAACGGTAGTCTAGACGGCAGTCGTCGGCAGTACCATGGCCCGGCCGTTGAGTAATTTGTTGATGAATTGTTGATAATTCATTGAGCATGAAGCCGTCATACTTTTGTATGAAAAATATATCCCAAAAAAAACCCCGACTTGAAAAGTTGAGTTTGATCGACAACAACTCCGAACTCAACATTACTTTTTATTTATTCGAATCTTCCAGCGCTATTGCCATGATAAGTAATGTGCCAAAATTTTCAACGTATATGTACATATCTCTACATTCAAAATTATATTGCTGCACTCTACCCTGCACTACCGCATGTGATCAATAGGCCACTGTAATCAACTGTCATCAACGCGCCGACGGCGACTTTTACTTCGACGCTCTGCTCACGATACAGTTACAACGGTAGTCTAGACGGCAGTCGTCGGCAGTACCATGGCCCGGCCGTTGAGTAATTTGTTGATGAATTGTTGATGATTCATTTGTTAATTGTAGATGAATTGTTGATGAATTTGTTGATTCATTGATTAATTGTTGATGACAGCCTAGGACATGCCCATGTTAAATTCATCAACAGTTTGTATGGCCATTCATTGATTGAGTAAAGTTTATTGATCTGGGTAAAGTTCACAAGTTGCATTTATGGATTACTTTTGTAAATGTAAATGTAAAACTTCGGTTCTCACAACTTGACTCGGAATTGAAAAGAGGTTTTGATTTTTGAACGAGAAAAGAGTGATGCTAAGAACTCACATTTTTGGATCGGGATAATATTACTACAAAATCTGGATGATGCAATCTTGGCGGTTATGGTAAAATTTGAAACATTGTATGCACTCTAAATTCTTCTTCTTCTTCGAATCTCAACATCAGCAATCCTGAATTTTCATCCCCCTGAATGAACTCCATTTCTTAATGTATTCGGCAGCAGTCGAAGTAACTTTTGATCCTTCCTGATTTCCTTCTATATAACTTCACAACGACCATGGTTAAGCTTTTTGGCAATTTTATATGGCCCGACAAATTTTGGGCGAAGTTTCATTCTTGTTCCATACTGAGTTGTCCTTATGGCTACCAAGTCTCCCCCTTTATGTCCGTTGCCTTTGGGTGAACCTGTCGTGATGTGAAGTAGCCGGTTCCTCTGAAGTTAATGCGGTTCCTCTGGCTGTGACTATTTTGCGAGGATTCCCAAACACTGCTGCTTGCTTCTCAAGTTTTTCTATAACCTCTTCTGTTCCGGTTGACTTTGTTGGATAAAGCCAGACAAATTTTGAAAATCCATGTGGTTAAAATTTTTTTTTCGTGTTGGTGAGTGGACCAACATGATCAATTTGGTAAATTCCGAGCGGTTCTTGAGCCTTGTCGATCTGCAAAAGCAATCTTTCCTTATTCCACTCTTGGAGTGTATAACCAGGCAATCTACACATTCTTTAACCACTCAAGATTGACCTGAATTCCTAGGATGTAGGAGAACATCTCCAGTACATCTCTGTTCCTTTTAAATCCTTGCAAAGGATATTATGATCGTTCTCCTTATTACTGCCAATATAACATTATCAGCTTTTATCCAGTTCTGTGTTATCCGTTCTGTGCTTCAATAAAACGTGATTTCTTGGAATCCGCGATAATTAAGCACGACATTCGGCTAAGTAAACTCGAATACCTGCAATGACATGACCACCTTGTGACTCTAAGTGGCATTTCGTCTTTCTTTATGGCTATTGCAAAAGCGTTGCAATCAGTAACTACTGTGAAACGTTTCCCAACAAATGCACTCTCCATTTCTTTAATGCATTCAAAATGGCTAACACCCTTAGCTTATAGGAAATGTACTTCTTCTCACAAGGGTTTGTTTTGCGGCTGATTACGTTCCTTGCAAAGCATGTTACTCAAAGGTTTTGCTGCCGAGACATAGTCTTTGATCAAGCGTCGCATGTATGATGTTAAACCTAAGTATCTCTGCAAAGCTTTCCTGCTCTGGGAAATTGGAAAATTAACAACAGCATTTATTTTCTCATCAGTTGGGATAACGGTTCCTTTGCCAATCGAATAACCCAAAAAATGATTTCTGCTCTTTTCGTTCTCCCACTTAATTCGTTAGCCTGCCTTTAATGCTGCGATTTTCCATCGATTCCATCGATTTGGTCCTTGGCATAATTATATCGTCCGTGTATCGATAAAACACAGCCGGAGATTTGAGATTCCAAATGGTACATGGGTGAACTCATACTGTCCGTTATGAGTCACAAATGCTGTATACTTTGTTGAGTCTTTATCAATCGTCACACGAAAAAATCCATTCATTATGTCGAGCGTGGTATAGATTTTCGACCCTTGCAATCTATTCAAAACATCGTCAATTAGGCTCATTGGAACGTTGTCTTTCTTGATTTTTTGGAGACGCTAGCGATTTTGCTGGCTTATAAACTTTTAAAGACAATTTTTACTTTCAGCTTCGGACTTGTTTCCAAATGAGATAAATCGATTTTTTCGCTACCTGGTATTCCCTCATCAACATACGAAACTAAACTTTCCTTATCCAGACTAATCGACTTGCTGATCTGGATTATGCTGTACAAATACTCGATACAGGTCCCTTTTTGGTTTGCCTTAAAATCTTATGTATCTTAGCTGAGCATTTTTGTGTACCGAACTCTTCAATTAACGCTTGCTTAAACTCAGCGAAACTCTTAATTCTGTTGGTGCTTTTGATATACAGTTTGGCGGCTCCATTCAAAAATAGTTTTGCATAACTATATCTTTGCAAATTGTCCCAGGCTACAGTTACTGCAACGTCCTCGAACCCAAACAACCAATAATTAACGTATTCGTGATCTAAGCCAGAGAATGATGAAATACTGTCGTGGACTTTGCGCAGGGTGAATCCTGAACTTACATTTAAGCTTGAAACAAAACGCAACTTGATAGTTAGATGAACTGGAAACACTCACTGCATTTTCATCCGCCTCACCGCCCACATCTATTCCATAGTGATCAAACAATCTATCCTGCGAAGCGCTCTTCCGCCCATTTGTACCCACACCTAATTCCATAAATTTTTCAATTAAAAGAGGCACTGGCAAGTCGAGAATCGTTCTAGCATCTATGTTAGTTCTTAAGCCGATTAAAAATAATTTAAAATGTTAAATTATAGACTTAAAAAATTAAAAACAAACAATGCGATTACGATCAATAATTTCAAAACAAATTTGTTGAATAACACCGGCTCTCGCTAAGCCACAGCCAGTGCTTACAACTATCTTCCGCCGCTCTTTTTGTCTCCTTAAAAATTGTGGTAGTAAATTCTACTTTTTCGCAACCCCTACTAGCTGTACACTCTTTTTTTGGCTGCGCGTAGTCAGCTTTTCTGCACTCGTCGTTACTGCTGTTCTCCTTGACGAAATTAGTTTTTGGTCTTCTTGTAGAAATGTACGTTCTATGGTGCTTTTATCAGTCTTTCAGGTACTCTTAGCTGCTGTTTGCTAAATGTTTAACACAAATAGTTTTTCTCCTCCGATGCTTCAAAACTTGCCCGACTTCATCTGAATTTTCCTCCGTTGTAGCTAATTTTCCATTAAGTATTTGTATTAACGCACTTTTCTTCATCTTTTACTTTGCCTTATCCCAGTTGAGTCCCCAATAATTTGTGGGGATATAATAAATAAAGTTTATTAATTTGGATAAAGCACACAATCTACAATAGATTATTTTTTAATGTAAAACTTCAGCGTTCGGCAACGACTGACTCGGAATTTGAATGAGAGAAAGAGTGATGTCAAAAACTTTTGTAGCACTACTGCAAAATCTGGATGATACAATCTTAGCTGTTATAGTGAAATTAAAAACAGTATATGCACTCCC